GGAATGAAGAGACACTTTGTAGATGAGTTGGAAAACATAAAGCAGTCCCACTTCTCCAGCAGAATTTTAGTTGAATTAAATCATAAGAGAAACAATGATTACTGCACATATTGTACTTGTCACACTACATCTGCTGAGTAGAATTTCCATTCCAAGTGTTGTTTTCATCTTCACCATCGTCTTGAGTCCTCAATCTGTATATCTTGCCCTCCTTTTTAAAGTCTTCCCCCCGTTTCTCCAGCACTCGTTTTCTGACTGGTTCCCTGATATAACAAAAGAGGGAGAAAAGAAGATATAAAATGAAAACAGCAGTAACACAAAGCCACTTCTTTTAAACTGCCATTAGTATAGTTTAAGGAAAGTCCATGGAGATCATTACATCTACTAATGCAGTACTAGACTTTATACATTTTTGGCGGTGTAACTTCATCTGTTCTCTAAGCCAAACTAGTCACATCATGTTGTCCATGTATTTCTTGGTGACTCACTGTGTCTTAGAAGACTGGGACCACTTGCCAACTAAATCTCTTTCCTTTATTATTTATGCAAGCTGATGTATCTACTAAAATATTTATTTATAACTTACACAACACCCTAGAGGCTATCCCAAACTCCACTCATAGCTTAATATACAGAAATGGTCAGTTAGCAATTTTCAATCCTTTCAGAATCTTTAAGAGTGATTTATTTCTGTATGCACAATTTAGAACGAACAGTTCTTCATCTGAAAATGGAAAGGAAACAGGTGAAATTTACACTAATACATTCTCCAACACTAGAGGGGAAGGGAGAGAGAAAAACAAAAACCAGTGGTGAAACATGAAGCTTCACCTGCTCGGATATACATTCATCCCATCCATTGCCCCAACCCAAGACCTTTTCCCTTACCTGAAATAAATTTTTGAAACCCACACAGCAAGCTCTTCTATATGACAGTAATTCAGGATGAAATGCTTCCATTCATTGCTCAGTAAGAGCTCTGAAATTCAGACCTAACAAGACCTAGTTTGAATGCTGTTCAAAAACTAGAGAACAATTTCTCTGTCCCCACTTGAGTAATGTACTTGTCTTCCTGCTTAATAGTTAAGAAAGAAATAAAGATAAAGGCTGCATCAGCCCAGTCACAATGTTAACATAAATTGTCATCTAGAGAGTCAACAGGACACAAGATTAGGGATCTCCTTACAGCAGACAAAGGCAAGGATTTTCATTACTTACCACATATGATTGGTGTGAGGATTTGCTATTCATGGCCCAATAAAGTATTGAACAATACTAGGTATATATTGTAATAAATTGTGCTATTAATTATTAGAAGGGGGTATAACCTCTAATTCTAAGAAAATACTTCCTGTAAACCTCTTTCAAATATGTAGAATTTTAACAGAGGTATGAGCTAAGATCATTAGTGTTGTCTATCAGTATTACCATTCAAACCTTGGCCATCTCCAACAAAAGTAAGGCCTCTTGGTTAAGGAACTAGTCCAAGATAACTCTCTGAAGAGTTATTTTCAAGTGAACATCCAGTTTGGTCCTTCTCCGAATGACCCAGAGGAGGCAGTTAAATTATCTACAGCACAATGTTCCCTCTAAAGTAATCATACAAGATGCCTGTGAGAAATTAATGAAGTATCTTGTCAGACAAAACATGGGTAACAAGAAAAGATATTACTGTTTAGACCTGAAAAAAATATGCCTTTTGTTATGGGATAAAGAGAATTCAATAAATGAAACAGTAAAATCAGTAGCAGTGAAGTTGCTTTCCATGGAATAGGTTTTAGAAAGATGGCTGAGAAAACGCAGGTATTGAGCTTCCCAGAACATGTTGGGTTTTCCCCCTTATACAGAGAAAAGGCAAAGTATCCATAACAAAATTTTTCATTTTGAATAAGGCATTGGGCATTACTAACATATTCTGCAAATGGGGAAAATACAAACAAATACCTTTTTTCTGAGTTGCCAGACGATGCAAGGTTTGAGGATTCCAATGATGCTGCTCTCACCGAGGTCTGTGCAGGAGGAGGATTACTGAATAAGAAGTTGCTAATCAATCTCCAGATGGCAAGGAATGGGTAAAGTACTGTCCCCAAGAATGTCCAAAAGTCGCCACTGGAAGAATGTACCATGGATGTAGTTGGTCTTCCTGCCTAAAAATTAAGAAAGAACCTAGATAAAGGCGACATCGGCCCAACCACATCACACTCAAGGTTCCAGATAAACTTTTTTACCTGGAAAAGTCCTGTGGATTTTAGTTTACTGCAAGAAGGTAAAATTGCCATCTTTTGCTGTTTTTCAAGTGTGTAAACTTCTAGGAACTCCTGGAGCTCTTTTTCTTTAAAGGAGTAATCACAACACAGAAACTGGAAAGTAGTTTCTCAGTGAAATGAACCAATTATTTTGAAGAGAACTAAACTTTTGTAATGAAATTAACAATTTTGATTTAAAAAGTCTTTCTTAATGATTTTTAAAAAGGGAAAGGTTTCAGTTCTCAATGAATACAGTTAATCCTGATTACTGGAGGACTGTTTTAGGTGTGGGGCTAAAGTTCAGATCTGGGTAAACTACAGTAGTCCCCCCACTTACCTGCAGGGGATACTTTCCAAGACCCCCAGTGGATGCCTGAAACCATGGATAGTACCAAACCCTACATATACTACGTTTTTTCCCTATACATACATACCTGTGATAAAGTTTAATTTATAAATTAGGCACAATAAGGGACTAGCAAAATTGCCAGCATCATCAGTCTTGAGCTTTGGAGCCATTATTAAGTAAAATTAGGGTTCCTTAAACACAAGCACTGCAATATTTCGACAGTCTATCTGATAACCAAGAGGGCCAGAAAGCGACTAATGAGCAGGTAACATACAGAGCATGGATACGCTGGACAAAGGTATGATTCATGTTCCAGATGGGACAACACACCATTTCATCACACTACTCACAACGGCCCGCAATTGAATAAAACTTATGAATTATTTCTGGAATTTTCCATGTAATGTTTTCAAAGTGCAGGTGGCCACGAGTAACTGAAAGCATGGAAGGAGAAACTGTGGGTTAGGGGGCACTACCATATACTAACCAAGTTATGGAAGACCCAAGCTCTCATCCTAGCTCTGGCACTTAAGGTGGCACCTTGGCAAAATTATTTAAGGTTCTGAGCCTTTTTTTAAATCAGAGATTAAAATATTATTAGGATCAGATGGGATTAATATGTTTAAAAATGAATGTTATTTTTAGATTAAAATGTTTTTAAAAAAATTGGTAAACAGTACTCATATACTCATACATAAATAAATGACACCAAGTCAGTAGATTAGGCAGATATTCTACATTTCTCTTCCTCTCCTACTGGTCATTTTTTGTACATGAAAATAGGTGAGGGAAAAAGTTGAAAATTTATATTGTGTCTCACTAGCAATACAAATATAAAGCCCAGGATAATGGAACAATAAATTGATCCAACATTTTTTGATAATTTGGATTTTAATTACCCACAGTACACTTTTCACCTTCCCTTCCTCTAATTATAAGAAAAGATCAAGAGCAGAACAAACAGGACTATAAGAATAGAAAAAATATATATGCATATACATACTGGCAACAGTACCACTGAAGCACTTGGGGCAAGTTCCAAATCCAGTAATTTCTTTTTATAATCTTCTTTGGTAAATTCCCTCCTGGGAAACATTGTTGCTAATGAAAAATTACCGTAAGTGTTGCCAACAGTCTGTAACATAACAATAAGTTTTAAAACCTTACAGTGGAGCCTTTTTAAAGTAAGATATTACAAACTCATATGCATCCAAAATGACTGCTTTAATTTTAAAAGTTCACTTAAATGTAAAATCAAAAAACATTTATAAAAACTTTGTGCTTCAAAAAATAGCTGAAGGCTATCAAATCCAAATAGTACTTAAAAGCTTTTAAAACTCAAAAATGACTATGAGGGCTTCCCTGGTGGCGCAGTGGTTGAGAGTCCGCCTGCCGATGCGAGAGGCCACAACAGTGAGAGGCCCGCGTACTGCAAAAAAAAAAAAGACCACGAAATAGCAAGAATATGTTTCCCAAGACTATATAAATACACTAAATAAAAATGAACAATTATATATCTCAAGTATGACTGCAGTTTGCAATTAGAGTTTTCACTGTCCTTTGGCAAACTTACATTAATATCTCAGAAATACCCATTTGGATTGTAGGTATTTTGTATTAAAAATCTGAAATAGACCAGAATTCCCCTCATATTATACATATGACAGGAGTCTTTGCCTCCTCATCTCAGAGAGTAAATGGTCCATAATCAACCCATACCACACACATAATCCCAGGTCCAGGAATTTACAGTGGGCAAGCATCACAGTCACTTTCACAATGTTAAATCACCTATATTTATAAAATCTTCCAAAGGAAGAGTCTAATTTGTTTTTTGTAATTTTTTAAAAAATTTTATTTATTTATTTATGGCTGTGTTGCGTCTTCGTTTCTGTGCGAGGGCTTTCTCTAGTTGCGGCGAGCAGGGGCCACTCTTCATCACAGTGCGCGGGCCTCTCACTATTGCGGCCTCTCTTGTTGCGGAGCACAGGCTCCAGATGCGCAGGCTCAGCAGTTGTGGCTCACGGGCCTAGTTGCTCCATGGCATGTGGGATCTTCCCAGACCAGGGCTTGAACCCGTGTCCCCTGCATTGGCAGGCAGACTCTCAACCACTGCGCCACCAGGGAAGCCCTGTTTTTTGTAATTTTTTACTCTACGTCATACTGCCTCTCTCACTGTTCTCCCTCAACGTAAGGTCACAAAATTAGGTCACTGTACTGAGATGAAGTTCTAATAGGACTGATGCAATTAAAGATCTTTCTTTTTTACTCATGTGATTCACTCTTCACTTACCTGTGGCAGAAGCACCCCATTTGGGGAGGCCCTAAGTGGGGCTCCAAGGCAAAAGAAGGATGAAAGAGGCTATCTGGAGTTGATTCTACTACAAAGCTTGGGGAAAGGGGTTATTAAAATAACTTTTTATACTGTCTAGCCAAGCTCACCAGTGGAAGAAGGCATATAACTTTTTAGGCATCCTCTTCTTGGGACCTATAAGTGAGATGGCAGACTAAATGCAGAAGAGGTCTAGCAGAAAAGTCTGAATCCTAATTTTAATCTTGAAGTGATATGTAAAACAAATACCGGTGCGTGTAATAAGCCTAGATCCTAAAGGACATCTGATGCCTCATTTTGAAAAAGTAATCAATCAGAGAATAAAAACTAACTGGAAAGTACTCATATCTTCTCTTCTAAGATGTCAATTTCACAACCATTCAGATCTTGAATAAGGCCACGTTCTGGAAGTAAATTCCTGAAGAAGATACTTGTTGCCAAATAAAGATTACTGATTGTTAGGTTTGATCAACTGGCAGATGGTGGGAAAACTGCCAGCCCCAAAGCATTCTAAGCAACTTGCAGAAAATTCAGAGAGAGGACTAAGAAAAAATGCATCTTTTACAGAGGACAACTCCTTCAGATTAGACTTTTGGAAAATCACTTGCTTTTCATTCCTCCAACTGAATGTACTAAGCACTGAGAAAAGTTTCCAGAGTCTATTTTACAATAGTAGCAAATTCGTCTTTTTACAGAACAAGCAGATATGCTGTTCCCATATGGCACTCATACATGACGGAAGCTCCACAACATCCCAGAGGCATCTTGTGCCTCACTCCTGGGGATAAGTCATAACTTATTCATACTCTTCAAATCCTGCCTAGAAAACTTCCCCTCCTACATTCTAATAACCCATTCACCTACCTTCATTACAATTCAAGACATAAATTTACCTGTGCAGCAAACTGCCGTGCTTCTTCTAGAGGAGCATCAGAAGGGAACTGATTTGTAAAGGAAGAACCATCAGGAAGACGGAATTGAATTCTCGCAACACTGCTATGAGAAAATGAAAATTTAAGTCAGCATCTTTACTTATACACATTCTCAAACAATATCATTAAAACTAAGAAAATGGAAGTGGTAATATGTAATGAAAACAGGTTTTTATGGAGAATTGGGGAGGGAGGATTGGAGGAAGTTGGTCAAAACCTATAAAATTCTAATTTAAGGTAAATAAGTACTAGGGATGTAACACACAAGACGACTACAGCTAACACTGCTGTTATGTTATACAGAGATAGGAAAGCTGTTGAGAGTAAATCCTAAGAATTCTCATCGTAAGAAAAGAGGTTTTTTAATTGTATCTCCATTTAGCCCATGAACAACAGGGGTCTGAGCTGCACGGGTCCACGTAGAGGTGGATTTTTTGCAATAAACACATACTACAGCACTGCACTATCCACGGTTGACTGAATCCATGGATGCAGAACCGTGGACATGGAGTCATACATGGAATTTTGACTACGTGGGGGTGGCACGCCAACTGCAACCCTGCACTGTCCAAGGGCCAACTGTGTATGAGAAGATGGATGTTAGCTGAACGCGCCATGGTAATCATTTCAAAATATATGTAAATCAAACCATCAGGCTGTATTCCTTAAACTTATAGAGAAATGTATGTCAAATATTTCTCCAATTAGAGAAAATAAAAAGAAAATTGGCTTTTTTCACAGTCAAATCTTGTTTATTATTTTTAACAACAGCTTTTTTGAGATAAATTTCACCCTTTAAAATGTACAATTCAGTGGTTTTTAATACAGTCAGAGCTGTGCAACCATCACTACTATCTAATTCCAGAACATTCTCATCACCCCAAAAAGAAACCAAGCCCTTTAGCAGTCAGTCCCCATTCCTCCCTCTCCCTTTCCCTGGCAACCACTCATCTACTTTCTGCCTTGTGGATTTGTCTGTTTCTGGCACTTCCTATAACAGAATCATAAGATATGTGACTTGTTGGTAACTGGCTTTTTTCATGTAGCATTGTGTTTTCCAGGTTCATCCAAGTTGTAGCAAGTGTCAGTACTTCCTTCCTTTTTATTGCTGAAAAATATTCCATCGTATGCTATATACTATATTTTGTTTATCCCCTCTTCAGTTGATGGACATTTTGGTTATTAGCACATTTATGCTATTATGAAGAATGCTGCTATGAATATTCATGTACAGGTTTCTGTGTGGACATTGTTTTCAACTCTCTTGGATATATACTTAAGAGTAGAATTGCTTAGCATTTTGAGGAACTGCCAAGTTGTTTTTCCAAAGTGGTTGTACCATTTTATAACCCCATCAGCAATGTAGGAAGGTTCCAAATTCTCCACATCCTTGCCAAGACTTGACGGTTACTTACTTACTTATTTTTTTTCGGCCATGAGGTATTCAGGGTCTTAGTTGCCTGACCAGGGATTGAACCTGTGCCCCCTACATTGAGAGCGTGGAATCCCAATCACTGAACCGCGAGGGAAGTCCTGGTGGTCACTTTAAATTTAGCCTTCCTAGAAGGTGTGGTTTTGACTTGATTTTCCTAATGACTAATAATGTGGAGCATCTTTTCATGTGCTTATTAATCATTTGTATATCTTCTCCGAGAAAATATCTATTCAAATTCTTTCCCCATATTTAAATTGGGTTGTTTGCTTCTTTGTTGTTGACTTCTTTTTATATTCCAGTTACAAGTCCGTTATCAGATATATGGTTTGCAAATATTTTCTCCAATTTTTTTTTTTTTGGCCGCACTGTGTGGCATGCAGGATCTTAGTTCCCTGACCAGGGATCAGACCCGTGCCCCCTGCAGGGGAAGCACAGAGTCTTAACCACTGGACCACCAGGGAAGTCCCTCCAATTTTGTGGGTTGTCTTTTCACTATCCTGATGATATCCTTTGAAGCATAAAAGTTTTTAATTTCGATGAAGTCCAACTTATCTGTTGCTTTCTTTTGTCACTTGTGCTTTTGGTGTCATGTCTAAGAATCCACTGCCTATTCCAAGATCACAAGATTTCCTCATTTCTTTTTCTCCCAAGAGTTTATACTTTTAGCTTTCACACTTAGGTAGATGATCCATATGGTGTGAGATAATGGTCCAAATTTATTATTTTGCATATGGATATCCACTTGTCCAAGCAGCATCTGTTGAAGACACCATTTTCTCCCCATTGAATGGTCTTAGTAAACTTTTCAAAAATCAGTTGATCATAAACGCAAAGGTTTATTTCTAGAGACTCAATTCCTATTACAGGCATACCTCAGAGATATTGTGGGTTTGGTTCCACACCACCACAATTATCACAGTAAAGCGAGTCACATGAAATTTTTGGTTTCCCAGTGCATGTAAGTTATGTTTATACTATACTCCAGTCTAATAAGTGTGCAGTAGCATGTCTAGAAAAACCATGTACATGCCTTAATTAAAAAATATTTTATTGCTAAAAATGCTAACTATCAACTGACAACACAGAGTTGCCACAAAACTTCAATCTGTAAAAAACTGCAATAAAGCATTAGCACAATAAACGAGGTATGCCTATATACATCAACCCATACGTCCATCCTTATGCCAATACCACACTGTCTTGGTTACCGTAGTTTCATAGTGAAGTTTTAAAATCTGAAAGTTTGAGTCCTCCAACTTTGTTCTTTTTCCAGATTGTTTTGACTATTCTGGGTCCCTTGCATTTCCATATAAATTTTAGAATCAGATTCCTGCATACATTTTGGCAAAAAAAAAAAAAAAAAACAGCTGGAATTTTGATAGGGACTGTGTTGCATCTGTAACCCAGCTTGGGGATTACTGCCATGTTAACAATATAGTCTTCTGATCTATGAAAACAAAATATCTTTCCACGTATTTAGTTAGGTCTTCTTTAATTATTTCAATAATGTTTTCTAGTTTTCGGTGTACAAGTTTTACACTTCTGTTAAATATATTCTTAAGTATTACTTTCGGAAAATAGTTTTTATTTATTTTATTTATTTATTTTTGGCTGCGTTGGGTCTTCATTGCTGAGTATGGGCTTTCTCTAGTTGCAGTGAGTGGGGGCTACTCTTCATTGCAGTTCGCGTGCTTCTCATTGCAGTGGCTTCTCTTGTTACAGAGCACGGGCTCTAGGTGCACAGGCTTCAGTAGTTGTGGCATGCGGGCTCAGTAGTTGTGGCTCGCGGGCTCTAGAGCACAGGCTCAGTAGTTGTGGCGCACAGGCTTAGCTGCTCCGCAGCATGTGGGATCTTCCCAGACCAGGGCTCGAACCCATGTCCCCTGTATTGGCAGGCGGATTCTTAACCACTGCACCACCAGGGAAATCCCACTTGTTAATCTTCTAATATAGAAAATACAGAAAAGTACAAAGAACAAGACAAACATTACGGTAATCCTACTAGCAGTATGTACTGGAAATCTGAATTTTTGTCTTTGCAACACATTTTTGTTTTGGGAACTGCCTTATCCCTCCAATTCATTCATTCATTCGGGTATGATTATCAGTAATATTTCCTTATCTCCTTCAGCACAGGGGTGGGCATGTCTACTACCCCAACCAGCTGGCCTATACAAGTGGACATAGTGATTGGTATTAAGGTGGCCACATGACCCAAGCAGGGCCAATCAGAATTTTCAGTGAATGATAAAAAGGATTAGTCTTTCCTCTCTAGGATCAGAAGCTCAAGATCCTGGAAGGTGCCAGGAGGCCCTAGGCTCTCCTGACACTATCTAAAGAGTTTCTCTGAGAATAAAGCTAAGACAGAAACCTAGAGATTAAAAGGAGAGAGAAAAAATCCTAATAATATCCTTCAGATCCCTGGATCTGGTGATGCCTAACCAATTCTATCACTGTAACTCCCAGCTGCAGAGCCAATGGATTCCCTCTTTTGCTTAATCCTGTTTGACTTGATATTCTAACAAGTAAAGAATTCCAGTACACACGAGATAATCACTGTAATCATTCTGATGTATGTGCTTTCTGTCTTTTGAAAACAGAATTCTTCAGCCTTCTTTTAAACATCATGTATTTAGTACCATGATGTTGTACATTCACATTCAATGACAAATACCACTGGCAGCTGCCAAACTGATCAATATGTTCTTGTAGAACTAGTTATTCATCCACAGAACACATCAGTGTTAAAAAGCAGCCCACAACTGCTTTTCTCCTCAGCTGCCATGTATACACATACATTTTAGCAGGAAATAAAGTACCTTCTTTCTTTTGTGGAAGAGTCTCTCTTGACTCCCATTTCTGCCTGTCTGGCCAGCAGGGCAGCAGCTTTAGCAGCTTCTACTTCTTCCTTTGTCTTTGCAAAACGAGCAGCTCTCTCTGCACGGTCCTTTAAAACAGTTGTTAGATACTAATTATATTTCACTGCCAGAAAGATCTAGTTACACATTTCCAAACATAAGGAACATAAATATGCATGAAATTCCTTAAGGCCATACATGAACTTCATCACTCTGATTCTGGTATTTTTCAGTTTTATCAACTTTCAGGGACCAGGGTTATTAGTAAACAAACAAGGACATGACTTTGGTCACTACTCTCTCTCTAAAGCCTGGAACAAGATCTGGCACATAACAGATAACCAATAAATATTTACTGAATGAATAAATAAACAAACAATATTAAGTAGGGTGTAATATGTATTACAACTGCTTAATTCTAAAAGCAATTGTTGGGACTTCCCTGGTGGCGCAGTGGTTAAGAATCCACCTGCCAATTCAGGGGACATGGGTTCGATCCCTGGTCCGGGAAGATCCCACATGCCACGGAGCAACTGAGCCCACGCGCACAACTACTGAAGCCTGTGCGCCTAGAGCCTGTGCTGCACAACAAGAGAAGCCGCTGCAACAAGAAGCATGCACGCTGCAACAAAGAGCAGCTCCCACTCTTTGCAACTAGAGAAAGCCTGCGCACAGCAACAAAGACCCAATCTGTGCTGCAAACAAGAGAAGCCGCTGCAACAAGAAGCATGCACGCTGCAACAAAGAGCAGCTCCCACTCTTTGCAACTAGAGAAAGCCTGCGCACAGCAACAAAGACCCAATGCAGCCAAAAATAAATTAATTAAAAATAAATAAATAAATAAAAGCAATTGTTGCAAAACCATCCTAAAGCTTGATGTGTCTAAATCCTTTGAATGTCCTAAAAAAAGAATGCTTATGACTAGCGGAGCCTGTGACATTGCAAATTCTTAGCTTCTTTCCTAGGGAATCTTTGAAAACTACCTTTTCACTACTGATAAAATTCATAATCTAACACTGAGAAAAACTACTTCCAAAAACTCATCTCAATTTTAATCTTAACTGTATTTTAATTCAATACACAATTTCTAGGAAAAGAAGACAGAATTGGTATGCTCTGAGTCCCTAAACTCTACTATTTTCGTGTGCCCTGTCTGGTAGTAAACCAAAACCATTGTGCATGAAAAAACAATTTCACTAATGTTCTAGAGTCAAGCATTAAAAATAAACTTAATACTCACCAGTGCAATCTGCTGTTTTATACGCTCTCGAGCTGCCCTATCTTCTGCCTTTTCTCTGTTTCTTTCCTCTAACATTCTTTTTGTTAATTCTTCTTCTTGCTTTCTTTTATAATCCAACATTTCTTTTCCAGTTTTCCTCCTCTCAATTTCCTTCTTAATCTCTCTCTGAATTAAAGAAAAAGTAAGTTTTATGAGCCAAAAACAAAATTTAATAATCTTCCCTTAGTATTATTTTGTATGCAGGGAAAGCCGGTTGTACGGTAGAGCTAAAGGAACAGAACAACTTCACAAAATCTAGGGGTCTAGAATGTATTAACAGCATGGGTTAATGGTCAAATGTCTATCAATTTATAAGTCTTTGCCAGTGGTTCTGTTAAGATTATGATGTGGTCAGTGTCATTTGAAAAAAAAAATTACAGGTCTTTGGTTTCTGAGGTGTCCTCTAAGGACAACATGGTAGTCATTTATTTAGCTTGAAGACCTGATAACCTTCGTATATTAGAACCCCAAAGAGATGATGCAGTTCAGGTGCACAAGGTGAGAAAAACAAACGGTGCACTAGAATGCAGCAACACCAAAGGAAAAATTCAGCAAAATATCTACGCATTTCTTTTTCACAAAAAGGAACTAAAACTATGAACTGCATCAAACCAATTTTAGTTCAAGTCCCTTTATTCTTAGCGTAAAGGATTCATTGCAGAGGAAGAAAAGATGGTCCAACCTATTCCTAGCAATTTATAAAAACAACACAAAAAAGTGTACACTATGACCTCACTACAGAAGACAGATAATTCCCCTCGCTCTGCTGCAACACTGAACTATATAACCAGGAAGCCATGCCAGGTTTGCCAAACTGAATAGGGAATCAAATGTTCCCTCACTTACGGGAAGAGGAAAACAATGCCAGGCACGTGCACTTTACCTGTTCTTCCTCTTTCCTTTTCTCTTCTCTCCTTTCTTCAAGTTTCTTGGTTAGTCTGTATTTTAAAAGTTTAAAAAATACATTAACTGAGATACATCATATTAATATAAATTACATTTAGAAGATTTCTTTAGCTAAAAACTGGGGGAAATGTGGAGACAGACAAAAAAGCTCCTGAAGGCAAAGCAACAACCTACCTACCTAGTCCCTGCCCCTAGGGAAATCCATGAGGAGTCAGTGGGACCATCAGAAGCCTCACTCCAGCTCTAAGTGCCTTACCTCCTACTTAATATTAGCTCCCATTCCTCCCAATTTATCAGATCTTGATTTTTTTTGTTTTGGCTGCGCCATGTGGCTTGTGGGATCTTAGTTCCCCGACCAGGGATTGAACCTGGGGCCTTGGCAGTGAGAGCTCGGAGTCCCAACCACTGGACTGCCAGGGAATTCCCTGAATATTTATTTGAAAATATGCATCTTCAAATACATATGTATAAATCAATGACTTACAAATGCTTTACTTCTTACAAAGACGTAAACAGTATTATGGCACAAAACTGTTAAAAAATAAAAGCAAAAAGCTGAAGGCTAACATTTATAAAATCCAGTAATTCCAAAACTGATTCTGAACTGTGAGAAACTCAGCAATTAAAAACTAATGATTCTGAAAGCAGACAGTGGTAATGGCTGCACAACCTTGTGAATATATAAAAACCCACAGAATTGCATACACTTTGAATTTTATGGTATGTGAATTGTATCTCAATTCTTAAAAACTAATGGCACTTTCTCTCAGAGGGATTTGGGTTACACAGGTATATATATTTGTTAAAACTCAGCTGAACAACTTGTGCCAGAAATCAAGGAACGCTCACAGAATGATGGTTTAGAACCCCAAAGAGATGATGAAGTTTAGGTGCACACAGTGAGAAAAATGAATGATGCGCTAGTACGCAGCAACACCAGAGGAAAAATTTAGCAAAATGTCTACAGATTTCTTTTTTACAAAAAGGATGTCAAAAGGACATAAGGCCCAGGATGAAGAGGTTCCACTAACCAAATGTGAAGCAATCTGTACATCAAAAAAAATTGTAAGAGAAATTAATTGTAACACATTAGGGTTAAAAAAAGGACCCATGAGATATCTTACTGCTGACGGAAGTTATGAATTGGTATAACCACTCTGGAAAACTGTTCAGCCAGTATCTATGACCCAGAAATTCAGACTCCTGAAAATACACCCAAAAAATATGTTCACCAAGACATGTAATAAAAGAATGTTCATAGCAATTCTATTCTTAACTGACCCAAACTGAAAATAATGCAAATATCCATCAACAGTAGAATGGATAAATAAATTGTGGTACAGTCAATACACAGTCAATATAGCTATACAGTAACAAGCAACAATTTGAAGTGCTTACACGATTTTAATTATATGATCATATGACCCGGATTTTTGAAATGCTGTCTAAGCAGCTAATAGTTACGTCCCAATGAAAACTGTTTAGTTATTCAGAGCTTGTCAACATTTTATCTAATCTCAACATTAGTATCCCTTTTTAAAAGCTTAACAAATTTTGTGTATATGTATCTTCTAAGAGTGCTTTATATATAGTTTTTTTCAATTTAAGAAATCTCAAACAGCTGTAGACCCACTCTGTCCTGACAGGCTAACTATAAAAGTAATAATGCTCAATGAAGAAAACTTGGCAACCCCAGAACAAAGCAAAGAAAAAAATCTCGAATTCCAATTTCATAGATACTAGTATAAGCACTTTGGTGCATGTCTTAAAATATCTTTTTTGGACTCATTATACTATATGACACATATACACCAATATGTGTACATATAATTATTTTTAAATTAAAAATGGCATATTATATTCTATTTGCAGAACCGTCAGGCAGACACAAGCAGACACCCCTTTACATAAGAATGGAAACTATTGGGGGGAATTCCCTGGCTGTCTAATGGTTAGGACTCTGAGCTCTCATTGCCAAGGGCCTGGGTTTGATCCCTGGTTGGGGAACTAAGATCCCACAAGCCATGTGGCACAGCCAAAAAAAAAAAAAAAAAGGACTATTAAGAAATAACAGAAGCTCCCCTTTCCCACAGGAATTAAATAGCACTTGATCTCACCCCACAATAAAGGGCTACCTGCCATGTTTCTTTACATTCCCCCCAACTCTCGAAATCTTTTCCTGATTTTTCATTTTCACTTTACCCCAGGATCCCAGGGTGATGCAAGTAAGGGTGCACAGTGGTGGGCTTGGTGTTAGCAAAGCAGAAAGAAACAGAAGAGGATGAGCCCCTAGGACTCTGGTTCCCTACTGCTCTTCTTCCAGACACACACCATTTCTCACTGCTGTGAGAGATCTACCCTGCTTTGCACCTCCAGATTCTGGCCCTGCCCCAACTCCCATAAAGGACAATCAGAATCTAGGTTTTGCTAAAATGAAGCGCATTTTCACTGAGTCATGAGCTAACCCAAATACCCAATGTCAGCAATCATTTTGAACTCTGGTTCCCCATAACATCTATGTGAACAAGAAAATATCAAGTCTAAGTAATTTTTCTTAACTTCCATATTACACTGAATGATTTTTAAGTCAAGATTTTAAAATATTCCTGCTTATCCATTCACCATTAACTCAGTTATCTTTTAAGAATCATAGTATAAGACTACGATTTGATAATCACTACAAAATTAAAAATACTAAACTAGAAACCACAAGAAGTCAGAAATTTGATTATGAGACCAACTAATAACACATGACACTTAATAGACACCCACTTATGCAGAACCCAGGCTCAGTACATAGTCATAAAATTAGATGAAGTTCTTGCCCATCTGGAACTTATCCTATGACAGAGAGATAAAAGCAGAAGTAACAGATGGAAACACAAATACCAAAATACTAGTGAAAAAGGGATTCTTAAAATTATCAGACCTAAAGCTGACCGATGACTTCAGAGATACACAAGTTTTTACTTCTAGAATGTAGTTTTTATGGATACAAATAAGTTAGTCAGGTAATAAAAAACTTCAACCTAGAATTCTGAAATTTCATTTGTGTAATTTTAGCTCTTATTCAAATCAATGAAATAACTGAAAACCACTGTCTTTCTAACAAAATACTATTTCTAAAATCAAGACCAAACCTTTCCACTCTGATGGTGAGCTCCTCTGTAAGTCTCTGATTTGAACATCCACCAGGCTCTTGAGACACAGTGGCCTGGCCTGAAATTTCTCCTCCTTAATTATTAAAAAAAAAAAAAAAGAAAGAAAAGAAATAAGAAGAATATTGCATTCAATGCCAATTTTTAAAAAGGTATATATCTTTTGGGTTACAACGTCTGTTAACAATCTTGTTTCTTAAACAATACATTTTTTCCCTAAGAATGGAGTAGGAGATAAGAAATGAGCTATTACTAGTGATAATTCTTACGTTTGGATCTGGATACAAAAGTATATAAATGGGAAATAAGGCAGCTACCCAGCTGAAAGCCACTGAGATAAAACATGAAATATTAATCTGGCAGTGAGAGATATAACAAAAGTAGACTAAGCATGCCTGGCCAGGGGTAGGCTCTACTCTAAAGAAGCATGGTCCAATATCTTTGGTATCCCATAGGGTAGCCACCAGTCAGGGACAAGTGGCTACTCAGCACTGGTAATAAGGCCAGTGCAGGTGAGAGACTGGATTTTTAATTGTATTTAATTTTAATTAAAATTGCCACGTGTGGCTGCGGTTATGGTATTCAATAGTGAAGCTCCAGGGACTTCTCTGGCTGTCCAGTGGTTAGGACTCTGCACTTCCACTGCAGGCGGCACAGGTTTGATACCTGATCGGCGAACTACGATCCGGCATGCTGTGCATCACAGTCAAAAAAAAAAAAAAAAGGGGGGGGGGGGGGAATTCTAGAGGCAAAGTTTGATACTGAGTATCACTCTAGACTTATGATGACCCAAGGGATCTGCTTCTGCACACCACAATGATTCCTTAGAAAAGCTTTTTACATCTACACTAGTATTCTTTTAAGGATCTCCTGAAGGACAGAATTTTGTCCTGGCCTGCTGTAGAGGATAACTATAGTCTGGTACTCCCTTTCAGAACCTCTGCTATTTCCTTACTTACCACTCACCATCAACTTAATTCTTCTTTACCTTTTTGATCCTTGGAAGAGCATGGACTGCGGAGCAACAGAGTCTGGGTTGAATCCTGTTCTGTCACTTTAGTAAGTTACTTACTCTCACTGTACCTCTTCCATAAAATGGGGATAGTAACCTCATAGAAATGTCATGAGAAGTATGTGTTAATAGAAGTAAAACGCTGAGACTTTTACTAGGACTAGCACATAGTAAGTGCTTCAGTTATTACAGCAGTAGTAGAAATATCAGAATTATTAAGCAGAACCAAAGGTACACATCTCTTCTTACCTCTGCATTTAGTGCATCACCTATATAACTTGAAATCAGCCATAGTAGGAATATTTACACTTCGGAAATTAGCAAACACTACAAATAAGGGCTTTTTATCTCCCCCCAAAAAACAAACTTTTGTTAAATATTTACCAGCATATCACTGAAAGAAACCCTTGGATAAGAAGTGGTAACCCCGGCAGCCAGTGTGTGTTCAGTAGGAAATGAATCACTTTTCTTTAGTAAATAAAATGAATGCCAAGGACATCTGTATCTTTTTTTTTTTTTTTTTTGCAGTACGCGGGCCTCTCACTGTTGTGGCCTCTCCTGTTTCAGAGCACAGGCTCTGGACGCGCAGGCTCAGCGGCCATGGCTCAGGGGTCCAGCCACTCCACGGCACGTGGAATCCTCCCACCCGGGGCACAAACTCGTGTCCCCTGCATCGGCAGGCGGACTCTCAACCACTGCGCCACCAGGGAAGCCTGACATTTATATCTTGATATCAGAAAAAAAATTTAAGAAAACTTCTGAAGATAATTTGTGGACAAGCTGAAAAAAAAAGTGCTGTGTGTAACTTAGGTGGATCTATGACTCATAAACAAAAATGGATGGCCATAAGCTAAAGCAACTGATAAAAATCCAAACACAGGGACTTCCCTGGTGGCACAGTGGTTAGGAATCTGCCTGCCAATGCAGGGGACACAGGTTCGATACCTGGTCCAAGAAGATCCCACAGGCCATGGAGCAACTAAGCCCGTGCACCACAACTACTGAACCTGTGCTCTAGAGCCCGCAAGCCACAACTAGTGAAAGCCTGCGTGCCTAGAGCCTGTGCTCTGCAACGAGAGAGGCCACTGCAATGCAATCAGAAGCCTGCGCACCGCAACGAAGAGTAGCGCCCGCTCACCACAGCTAGAGAAAAGCCCGCGCGCAGCAACGAAGACCCAACGCGGCCAAAAATAAATAAATGTATTTAAAAAAAAAAATCCAAAAACAGTAAAAATTTACCAGAGGACGTTCTGTCTTTAGGTTTAAGAAGACAACTGGAGGGCTTTCCTGGTGGTGCAGTGGTTAGGAATCCACCTGCCAATGCAGGGGATGCGGGTTCAAGCCCTGGTCTGGGAAGATCCCACGTGTCGTGGAGCAACTAAGTCCATGTGACACAACTACTGAGCCTGCGCTCTAGAACCTGGGAGCCATACCTACTGAGCCCGCGCCACAACTACTGAAGCCCACGTGCCTAGAGCATATGCTCTGCAACAAGAGAAGCCACCGCAATGAGAAGCCCGCGCACCGCAACAGAGCAGCCCCCGCTCGCCGCAACTAGAGAAAGCCCGTGCGCAGCAACGAAGATCCAACACAGCCAAAATTTAAAAGATAAATTAATTTTTAAAAAATGATATATTGGACTCCAACTCAAACAAACTGAAAAACTTAGTGTAATGTAAATATTGCCTAGATAATTAATGATAAAAAGGAATTACTGTAAACTTTCTAGGTTTCATAAGGGATAATGGTATTGTGGTTATTTTTTTAAAGTGCTTATCTTTTAGATACCAACATTTTTTGTTTTGTTTTGTTTTTGCTGTGCCGTGTGGCTTATGGGATTTTTAGTTCCCTGACCAGGGATTGAACTCGGGCCCTAGGCAGTGACAGCGTGGACTACTAACCACTGGACCACCAGGAAATTCCCGGTACCGACATTTTTAAAGATGAAATGATATAATGCCTAAGTGTGTTCTAAATAATAAATGGCAAGGAGACAAGGAAAGGGGGCATAGATGAAACAATATTAGCCATGAATCAAAAATAGTTGGGGGACTTGTCTGGCGGCCCAGTGGTTAAGACTCCGCACTTCCACTGTAGGGGGCGTGGTTTGATCCCTGGTCAGGGAACTAAGATCCTACAAGGCACGGGGTGCAGCGCCGCCCCCCCGCAAAAAAAAAAAAGTTGGAAGATAAGCAATGGGTTCATGGGATGGGATTTCTTAAACTATTTTCTCTACTTCTGTATATGTTTGAAATTTTCCATAATGAAGCTAAAAAAAAAAAAAGCTACAAAGAACTAAGATTAGAGTTGCTACTCACCTCGGATAAGACAGAGTCTAACAGTTTGAGTCTAACCAAATTAATTGCCTACTAAAACAAAAACATCAACACTCTTTGTGGGAATATAACAGAATCCAGAGTGTCATGTGTAACTCTTTAAGTAGCACTAAAGCACTCAAGTTAATGGGAAATTACAGAGCATCAAATTTCAGTTCAATAAAGGAAGAACTTTTCTAAAAACTAGGGCTTTGACAATAGAATAGGCTTCCTAGCAAGGTACTGAGCTTCCTGTCATTAACTGTATTCAAATAGAGGCTTGATGATTATCTATCCAGGATGCTGGAGCACAATCACCTTTTAGGATACTAATATTCTAACTTCTTAACTTACCTTACCCTACATTGCCTAATACAAAGCTATATTACACAGAACAACTCTGACTGTGCATGATCCCTAATATACAGTATAAAATTTCTCCTCTGCCTTTTCTATCAACCCCTCTGCAGTCACACCTCCTACTGCTACATGCTCTATTTTACAATTAACTTTTAATTCTAATTTTAAAAGTGTACAGTATTTTATATTATGAAAACAATTTCAAACACATCAGTTCACTTGGTCCTTTCGATATCCTCTGGCTGAGAAGAGATTTACAAAACTCATATGAGTATCATAATGACAGTCCCTGAACCATAGCACAGTAGTAGAAATTACTACTATCAGCTGTTCTGGACTGTTGCCTATTTGGGTTTGAAGGACAGTCACTGACTTTATCCCCTTCTGCCACTAAATGACAAACATATTAAATTTTAAGTTAAATGAACATGAAGGGGGAAAATACAGTATTCTTATTTTTTAGGATATTAATCCACGGCCTTTATAGTGGAGTGTTTAGTGTACCCAAAAGGGTATATTAAAAATTACCTGTTGCAGAATCTGACTTTGTATCAGAAGTGGGTGGTGTCTCACAGAGCTCTACGTTTCTGGACTGACAGTTTTCAGAAGTGTTGTTATGTTCAAATGAGGTGGATGGAGTAGAGACTGAACTTTCTGACTGGCCACTATCTGCCACTGATATTTCACCTTTTAATGAGTGCATCTAGGGAGAAAAAACATTGGAATTTAATTACATACGAATCTAAGTTTACCATGGTATATGAGACCAAAAACATGAGCAAGTCAATTTGTACTCCACAGAAGGGGGAAGTACTAAACTTTCCAAGTAAATCAACCTAAAATGTATAATCCTAAATATGACATAATCACATTATGGAATTTAACTGCAAGGTGACAAGAGCATAAAAAGATATTTAAAGCACACTTGATTTTTCTTACAATTAGAATTCAAGGAAAAAAGTTACAAGCTATATTAGCCATTTGCCCAAAGTGGATGCAAGTGAGAAATTGAGTAAGGTCCTTAAAACAAGTCAAGCAATATACTGTTAGGGACTTTAATGTGACAGCAACTCCCTTTTGCAACAAAAGAATAGTGATTGCATTATGTAGCTGGCTGAGGGAGAAAAAGGGAAGGGAGAATAAGAAATCACTCATGCATTAGGTATAGGCACCTCGAACTGCATAATGTTATTTTCAAAACCAGTCCAGACAGTATTTACTACCTTTTAATAGCATGGTTAGTTCCTGAATATTCAGTGGCTCCAAAAATATTCCAACGTCAAGTTCCTGACATACCATTTACCCACGTTTATACAAAGAACAATTCTGTTCCTTCTCACCTGCCGGACTTTGTGGATTCTGGTAACAAGTTCGTCTGCAGGAATACTTCCTGCTATTACTTCCAAGGGAATTCCACTGTCTCCAATAAAGAAACTGGATGGAACACACACTACAGGATCTGTACAGTTTAATTAAGTCTAACAATTCATGGGAAACAAGAGAATAATTTTATGAAACACTATTGATAACAAAGCAAAAGAAATCATCTTTGTGAATTTCACAATATAATCAGCTAACATGTTCACAAAATAATTTCAACTACCCTATCACTATGCCTGTAGTGCATGTGATATGTGAATTATGATTTATCTATATCACATATATAAGTGGAAAACATCCACTACATTCCCCTCTATCATAACTTTTACATCTATCTTACCTCTTGCTAGCTACTTCTAACATTCCAACCAAACTGCATCATATTGCTCTCCAGCTATTCACAATTTATAAAAACTCCCCAAGGGGACTTCCCTGGCGGTCCACTGGTTAAGACTCTGCACTCCCACTGCAGGAAGCAGGTCATGGAACTAGGATCCTGCATGCTGCATGGTGCAGGCAAGAAAAAAAAAAAAAAAAAACCCAACAAACTCCCCACAATTCCATTTGCTACAAGGTACTTACTGTCTCAAAGGACATTTAGTAATATAAAGTTTCCAGAAACAAGAATGCATGAGTTCCTAAATAAAAATGAGTAATTTCTAACTGTCATGAATCAACCAAAAGAAAGGTAACTCCTCAAGCAAAATATATATAAAACCAATTCTTCATGGAAAGGATACAGATCTGTGAAAATTGTAGGCAGGCTTCACTGTAAAACAAAATCAAACAGAAAATCACTAGATGAATACAAGTATTTCCCAAATATTGAGTTGTTTTTATAAAAATTTACTGTAGCAATTACAAGTATTTTTCTTAAACTATCAGTTCCTTTCATAGCCATCAACTGAAAGGGGAAAAACATAATCCTTATCTCACAGACCTTTTTTGGTTTGTTTTATAATTTTCAGATTAAAGAGCACTTGTTCTTGCAACCCACAAACTGGTGGCCAGATCTGGCACCTAAAAATCAACTTAGCATCTGCCCCATGTGGCTTCCTCAGCAGCAAGTATTTCTGAATACAGTATCTTAACTTGTAATAAGAAGATATTAATACCTGTGACTTACTTGTGCAAGTGATAATACTTTATAATAACAAAGGATTCAAAAAAACCTAAATCTCCACCAATAAAAACTGATGAATCATGCAATTACAAAAAGGAGAAAGGTATAAAAAGTATGTCAAACTACTACCATTTTTGTAAAAAAGGGGAGGAAAAAAAATATATTTTCTTGATTTGGTTGCCTCCAGAGAAGAGAACTGGGTGGTCAGGGACAGGGATGGCAGAGAGACTTTACACTACAATATGCATAAAAGACACTGATCAATGTAGAGGAGTAATTCCAAGAAACAAATTAATGCTTCTAAGAACCAGAAATTTGCTTCATTTTCTCTGAATATAAGGCATGATTATCATAAAAACATCTAAAAATACAAAAGTATAAAGAAAAAAATTACCAAGAATCCTACCTTTTCAGAAATAACCACTGTAAACTTTTGATGCATTTCCAATCTATTTTCAATGCAGGACATAACATAAACTAACATGTTCCTAGAATATTAGGTAGCTTTGTTATTATTATAAATAAAATTTACTTTTCATAATTTAAAATACACACTAGATTCTATTAGTAGACTGTCCATAATGAAACAAATATCAACCATCACTATACACAGGTATCCCTGCATCTGCTAAGAGAAATTTGTTTTTAAAAATACTGGATATATCAGTCTGTATATAAATCTCAACAATTCTGAAATTCTCATTTCTTCCACATTCCCAATAAACCTCTACATTCCTCCTGCCATTACTGACTCTAAAAGGTGCTTTTGGAAGATAATGAACAATATCAATGACACAGTAGACTCTTTTAAAAAAACAATTACAGCTCAATAAATATATAGTTCAGTAACTGCTGCTGTTGTGAGGCAGACTATACTATGATTTGCTTTGTGATGTTTTGTTAATAAAGAAAATTTTTAAATAAAAAGTTCACAGACTTATAGGTAAATTTCTGAATATTTTAATCTTGACAGTAATTTTCATTTTGATATTACCAATATCAAAAGGACAGAACTACCACTTTAAAACTGCTAATCAATTAATGTTTCCAGGCATTTATCATTGATGGCTGCTGCTAACATAAAGAGAAACAACAGAGCATTATGTACCCTCTAATGGAAGAATGGAAGACTTACCACCATCTATGAAGTAGTCTTAAGGGGGAAAAACCTAACCTGAATCCAACTGTCAATTTACAGAAAATAGAGGACAGAGTAATAAACTAAATGACACTAACAGAACTGCAATGAACAAAACCCATACCGTAGGAAACTACATAACGAATGACCTCGTTTCCCAAAAAAATAAACTGCAAAGAAAAAGACAAAGAGAGAGACATAGAGGCGAAGCCTACAGAGTAAAAGAGACTTGAAAAAGATCAATGCATCACAATGCGTGGACCTTAATGGATCCTGAACCAAAACGGTAATAAATTAAATTAATAAAAACCATGACTGATGAGAGAACTGAAAATTTGAACACTGAGTAGATATTTCAAGTTAAGAAATTAGATTAGATTTTGAAGTATTAGTTATGTTAAAAAAATTAAGAATCCTTATCTTTCAGAGACATACCAAAATATTTATAGATGAAGTGATATGATGACTGAGATTTATTTCAAAATTATATGGGATGAGTTGAAGTGGGTGATGGAATAGATGAACAAGACTGACCATGAGTTGATAACTGTCAAAGTAGTTGACAGTACAAGGGGGTTCATTACACTACTCAAGCACTTTTGTGTGCATCTGAAATTCTCTATCCCCGCCCCCCCAAAAATTTAACGGGGCGAAGAGGGATGTATTAACAAATAAAACAGACTTGTGGTTATCAGTTCGCACAATGGACCTATAAATGTCCTTATTCTTATTGAATAAAATGGTTCCATTTTCAAAAATAGGATCCAAAAGAGTGGTCAACCTTTCAGAGATATTTCAGGACCACAGTCCCTTTGCATTACTGGTGCATGTCACATAGCTACTTGGTAGACCAAGAATTCATAAATTTTTCAGTATGATATAATGATGGACTTGAAAAATGGCAATCAGAATTTAAGTCCTTAAAATGTCTTAGACAAAAATCAACATTCTTATAGTCTAAGAGTATCACCATAAATCACAACCAAAGACAATGGTTAAAAAATTTTTTAATTACAAGATTAAAACATAAGCAAACCTTTTGGTATCGATTTTAATAGCAACAAAACTGTTTGAAGATGCTTCTGTCACTTTCTCATCTTCCCAACTTGCAGCCATCTGTGTAGACTGCTCATCATCACCTGTAAAACATTTTAAGCATTCTTAAAACATAAGGCCAGTATCTGCTGATTCTTTTCCCTGGAAATCTGGAACTTCAAATAAAATGTAATCTCACGAATAATATTTTCCACCAAATCTGAAAACTGAATTTTCCATAAATGAAAAGTGTGACTTATATGCATTGTTAACATTAATAAAAAGTAATGAGGGCTTCCTTGGTGGCGCAGTGGTTGAGAGTCCGCCTGCCAATGCAGGGGACACGGGTTTGTGCCCTGGTCTGGGAAGATCCCACATACCGCGGAGCGGCTGGGCCCACGCGCCATGGCCGCTGAGCCTGCGCGTCTGGAGCCTGTGCGCAACAGGAGAGGCCACGACAGTGAGAGGCCCGTGTACCGCAAAAAAAAAAAAAAAAAAAAAATGCAAAACAAAATACTGCTATTTAGATTATACAAAGTGTTTTCTAAACGAAGACATCCGAATTATGATGCAAATATTATCATAATAATTAGAAGTCATGGGCAGAAATATGACTACTTTGGCTTTTCTACATATGATTTTAGAAAATAAATGTACAATACTTTTCCTTTATGCAGCATCTTTCTGTTGAGTTCAATGTCCTCCACACACACCCCACTTATCTTCCAGAATTCCTCCAAGGTAGACAGAAGCAGGTGCAATCCTGTCTGCAGTTTTGGACCTGTCTTTTGTTATAGGCATACTAATTATAAAAGTTACACTGATCCAAAACTATGCTGACAGAATTCAGCATGGTGGCTACTTTGGTAGAGCTACTATTCATTGGGAAGGAGGATGAAGGAGGCTCTGGGGTCTTGGAAATATTTATATCTTTTTAAAAAAATTTTTATTTTATATTACAGCATAGTTGATTAACAATGTTATTTTCAGGTCTACAGCAAAGTGATTCAGTGAAACATATACATGGATCTATTCTTTTTCAAATTCTTTTCCCATTTAGATTATTAAAGAATATTGAGCAGAGTTCCCTGCGCTATACCATAGGTCCTTGTTGGTTATCCATTTTAAATACAGTAGTGTGTACATGTCAATCCCAAACTCCCAATCTATCCCTACCCCCCAGTTCCCCACTGGTAACCATAAATTCATTCTCTGTGAATCTGTTTCTATTTTGTAAGTAAGTTCATTTGCATCATTTGTTTTTCAGATTCCACATATAAGTAATATCATATGATAGGAAATGTTTATATCTTATCTGAATGACAGTTACACAAGTGTATTCATCTATAAAAATTCATCTAGTTGTTCACTAAATATATTTCATTTAATATACTGTATGCCATACCTCAGGGATAAAATGTTTTAAAAGTTGTATCTATCAAGAGATTATTTCCATTTTAGACTTGTAATATCCAGATTTTGGCATAACCACTTATTGGTGGGCAAAGGGAAATTTACCTGAGTTAAGTCACTGAAAAATATTTCTGAGGTTAGCAGAGCTAAGTGCTGTTTCAAAGGTGAGCAACCTTTGCCAATTTATGCTTAAAAAGGCTTCAGGGGGCTTCCCTGGTGGCGCAGTGGTTGAGAGTCCGCCTGCCGATGCAGGGGACATGGGTTCGTGCCCCGGTTCGGGAAGATCCCACATGCCGCGGAGCGGCTGGGCCCGTGAGCCGTGGCCGCTGGGCCTGCGCGTCCGGAGCCTGTGCTCCGCAACGAGAGAGGCCACAACAGTGAGAGGCCCGCGTATCGCCAAAAAAAAACAAAAACAAAAACAAACAAACAAAAAAAAAGGCTTCAGGTCACATTTTTTGCTTTACAAAAATGAGATCTTTCTATACCTACCTACTCTTTCGTAAGCCGCTTTCTTCCCATGTGTGTTTCCCGCCTTCCCCAATTTAATCCACCCTTAGCCTTCCCCATTTCAGTTATCTGTTAATGGGTAACACCATCCTTTCAGTTCTCAGGCCAAAAAGTTTAGTTATTCTTGCCTTCAACTGACGGTATCTCCAAAATATATCCAGGGACTTCCCCAGCAGTCCAGTGGTTAAGACTCTGTGCTTCCAGTGCAGCGGGTGCAGGTTCGATCCCTGGTAGGGGAACTAATATCCCGCATGCTGTGTGGCACAGCCCAAAAAATTTAAAAATAATAATAATAATAATAAATAAATAAATAAATAAATAAATATATATATAT